TATATACGGATAAACCGTAATGCCTCTAGTCCTGAGGTGAGCAGCGATCACCGCCATACACTTTGTGAAGACCCTAGGAGCTGTGGTAAGGCCAAAAGGCAGGACGTTAAAACTGAAGGCCCGGTCTCCAACCATGAAGGCGAGATATTTCCTATGATGTTCAGCCATAGAAATATGAAAATATGCGTCCTTCAAGTCAATTGTAGCGAACCAAACATCTTTATTTAGAAGAGGGAGGATCATAGGGAGAGATACCATACGAAACTTCCTGGAGTCAATGTACATGTTCACTCCCCTTAAATCTAGAATTGGACGCAAACCACCACCTTTTTTAGTTACTAAAAAATAACGAGAAAAGAAACATTCACCAAACATAGAACAGTCTACATGAGAAATAGCCCCTTTAGCCAAAAGTGTTTCAACCTCTTCCAGCAACGCTGGAGACTCAGGACTTGCTTCCAAATGGCCCAACGGGGGCAATGAAACAAACTCTATTGAGTAACCTTCCTCAACAATTTGGAGGACCCACCTATCGGTGGTAATCGCAGCCCATGCGTGCGTAAATGGCCTAAGCCTATCTTTATACCAAATGTGGCCAATAGGTAAGGAAGGATCAGATGGAATAACCCTGGGTTGCTGGCTAACACCAACAGAGGAGTCGTCAAAGACGACGTCTTGAATTCCCTGTATTCTTGGCCTTAGATTGGTATGGTTGATACCTAGACTTCGAACCATAATTCTGTTTACGATTAAACTGGAATTTTGAAGAAATATTCCTATTTGTCTGATTAGAATTGTACCCATTGAAATTTGTCCTACGGTAAAATGGTGACGTCTGCTGCCAACGAGGCTTCTGTTGGTTACCTGGCTGCCATGGGTATGGGTACGGGTACGGGTATTTAGCTGCTTGTAGGACCTCCCGTGAATGTTTAATCTTTTCGTCTGTTGTTGGATCAAAAAGACCCCCCTCATTCATAGGGAGGTCTTCCGCCAACAAGCGGCTCTCTTCCGATAAAGTGGAGGCACGAAGCCACGCATGGCGCCTTATAGCCGTGGCTGAGGCGAGAAGTTTACCAGATGCCTCAGCCATATGTTTGGCAAAGTCTTTCTGGAATCTAGAAAGAATAAGGGCTTCTGCCTGGTACGCCTTAGGAAGACGACGGTCTTCAACCGGCAGGAGATCAATAAAAGGTAGCATTCTGTTCCAGAGAAAACTCTGGTATCCGCTCATAAAGGTCGCATAATGAGCCATTCTAGCAAACAACCCCGCAGCTACATGGACTTTCTTCCCAAGGGAATCAATCTTTTTGCCCTCCTTATCTGGGGGTGTAATAGAATACTTCTTAGGCCTTTTTGACCTAGCTGCCTCCGCCACCACCGTATTAGGTGGAGTGGGGTGGGCAATCCAGCGTGCCACTGAGAGATCCACTTTGTAAAGGAGATCTACCCTCTTTGGAATAGCAGGGGCAGCCGACGGAGACATGTCGGGGACCTTAGTTAGCTTTAACAGGTAAGGCAGAGTTGGAAGTAGCATGGATGGGGAATTATCCTGCTCTTCAGATGGAAACATGGGATCGTCCACTGTGGAAACTGGTTTAGGAGTAACAATGCCCAGGGCAGTTATCATTCTTCCAATCATCTGTGCAAACTTATTGTAGTCCTCAGCACGGTTTACATTTGAATCCTTGTCCTTCCCCACATTCGAAGAGTCCATCACTTCCACCGAAGAATCAGAGTCCACATTGTCAAGAGAATGTTGATCCTCAGCAATAGATGGCAACGGAGTATTCCCTTGAGAATAGTAACTTCCCCGATGCTCATGTCTAACATGCATAGGGAAAGTCTCTTGATGTTGCAATAGTCTACAATCTTTATTTTTATGTCTAGGATGGTGAGTAACCTTCTGGTTTGGTGGCATAGATGGAGGGCCACAATAAATAAATCTTCCTTGGGGGGTAATTTCATAGACCCCTGGATGAGGGAGAGGAAGATCTCTTTCACCTCTTTTCCCCCATCAGGAGGAATGTGTGGATGAAGCAGACCTGGCCCTGCGGGCGCGTGCACGCCTGCGCACCCTTGCAGAGCATGAGGAGTCAGAACATGAAGTTGAGGAAGTAGAGGAGGAGGAGGAGTCGCTGGAGCTGGAGTCCCTGTGTCCCCTTTTCCGTTTATGAGTGCGCGAGGGAGCGCGCGCACGGCGCCGAGACAGGGTCCCAGCGACTGGCATCCCTGACGTCGAGGCGGCAACAGGCATTCCCGACGCCGAGGGAAGCGTTGCCATGGGCGCCCGTCCTGGCTCCTCCCCAGAGCCTGCCTCTTGAGATGTAGGAGGAGCCGGCGCCGAGAGCGTAGGCATAGGAGGCGTCAAGGTCTCCTCCTGCGCACGCGCGGGGCGTGCTCCAGCCGGCCTCGGCTCTCTTTCGGTTTCAGTTTCCTCCCTTGCTCGCACGAGGCGAGCGGAGGTCGATGCTGGCTCCATTCTAGCTTTGGAGCCACATGGAGGAGTCTCGTTTCCCTTCTCAAAGGGAGAGGCTGTCTTAGAAGCTGTGGCCTCGGTTTCTACGGCCTTCGGGAACTTAGCAGCGGCCGTTTTGCTATGAGTAGCCTTGGATTTCTTGGTCTTCCTTATAGCACCCGATTGGGCCGCCATTACAGGTAAGGCTTGCTCTTTTTGGCTAGTATTTTGATATAGGTCAGGGAGAAGCGCCCGTTCATACAAGGCAGCCTTTAAACGGATCTCCCTGTTTTTTCTCGTTTTTGGAGTGAAGGATTGGCAGATCGCACAAGCTTGTGTTAAATGTCCTTCCCCGAGGCATGCGATGCACAAGGAATGTGCATCATTATCTGGAAAGTTGCCCTGGCAGGCAGAGCAACGTTTGAAACTTTTTGTATTAGACATCTGTGCCATTTAGCAGAGATAAATAATAATAAAATAATAAAAGAATTGATCTGAGATGAGAGAAGATCCGAGCTTGCTGACTTTAGCGCGGATGAAGAGATCTGGAGGCGGTTGGCCAGCCGCGGGCTATTTATGCTATCCTGGGGAGTGTGCGCGGGGCCAACCGCTTTTCTTTTTAAAAAATTAACTGAAGATTCCGGAGCGAGGCTGCGCATGCGCAGAAGTACCATTAGTGCGCATTCACAGCACAGACACGTAGGGAAATCTATATAAATAAAAATGTAATGTTCATTTGTGGGATTAACATAACTAAAAAAACCACTTGACAAATTGACACCAAATTTGGACAAAATACACCTATCAGGCCAACGAGTGACCATCACTCATAAAAACATTGAAAAACACAGCAGAAGAGACTTAAAAAGGCCAAAAAAAATAAAAATGCATTACAGCACATGTGCAAAACCACACAGATACACAAACACACACATATATAGGTTGCTTACCTGTAAACATAGTTTCCCGAGTGGTCACCTGTGAATTTGCACATATGGTATATTCCTGTGCTCGCGCAGGCAGCAACAAAAAGATCTCGAGATATATATACACATATACACAAATATATACACATACATATATGCCTATACACACACATAAAACACATATTCACAGACTGAGCCACAGCAACGCATAGCTGGGGACGGCTAGTTCTATATAAATAAAAATGTAATGTCCGTTTGTTGGATTAACATAACTCAAAAACCACTGGACGAATTGACACCAAATTGGGATACAATACACCTATCAGGCCAACAAGTGACCATCACTCAATAAAACACCGAAAAACAAAGTGCAAGAGACTTCAAAAGCCAAAAGTTAAAAAATACATTACAACGCATGCACATAACTGGAAAAATGATATACATAAACACAAATATATATACAAATATATACACATAAAAACACATATACACAGACTGAGCCACAGCAACACGTGGCAGGGGACATCTAGTATCTATATAAAATGTAATGTTTGTTTGTGGGATTAACATAACTCAAAAACCACTGGGCGAATTGACACCAAATTTGGTTACAATACACCTCTCAGGCCAACGAGTGTCCATTACTCATAAAAACATTGAAAAACACAGCAGAAGAGACTTAAAAAGCCAAAAAACAAAAATATACGTTACAATTAATGCGCAAAACCACATATATACACAAACACACATATATACACATATACACAAATATATACAGACATATATGAACACACAAAACATATACACAGAAACAGGGAAGGAAGGAAGGAGAGGAGGGAGAGAAAGAGGGAAAGAAGGAGGGAAGGAGACAAGGAAGGAATGAAACAAATAAAGGTAGAGAAGAAAGGAAGGAGAGGAGGAAATAAAGAGAACGAAGGAAGGAAAGAGAGGGAAGGAAGGAGAGAAGGAATGAAAGGGAGAAAGAAGGAGGGAGGGAGGGAGGGAAGGAAGAAAGGAAGGAGGAAGGAAGGAAAGAGACAAGGTAAGATGGAACCAAAGAGCAAAGGAAGCAAGGAAAGAAACAGGTAGAGAAGGAAGAAAGAAGAAGGGAATGAAGAAAGGAAAGAAAAAGAGGGAAGGAAAGAAAGAGGGAGGGAAGGAAGGAGAGAAAGAAAGAAGGAGAGAAAGAGGGAGGGAAGGTTGTCCACAGCAACGCATGGCGAGTACTGCTAGTTTGCAAATAAATTTGTTCAAAATCAAACAATGTGATTTTCTGGATGTGTTTCCTCATGTTGTCTCTCATAGATGAGGTCTACTTAAGGTGTCAATTACAGGCCTCTCTCATCTTTTTAAGTGGGAGAACTTGTACAATTGGTATCTGACTAAATACTATTTTCCCCACTGTAACTGTAGGTTGTTTGTGAATCCAATATACAGTAGTTACACAGAATGTGTTTGCCAGTATGTCTAAACTTGTTATGTAAAAGTTCGGATACCCTTTCTCTTACTGGAAAATTGCAATAAAAAGAAACTATGCTTTAAAGTTATTGAAAAGTTATGTTTTTCAAGCAATGCATACGAGATGAGCTTATAATAAAAAAATGCTCAATAATACGCACTTGTCCACTCAGGCTGCACCATTCTCCTCTCCTCCCTCCTCAGACCTGCTTCGTACATTTCAGGGATGGATTTGGAAGAAAACCTGCAATATGCAAATAGTGCAGAAGGTGAACAGAAAAATGTGAAAGAGTGGGTTGTTGTAAGTTTTTCGGGCTGTACGGCCTTGTTCCAAAAACATTCTCTCCTTACGTTTGGCCTGCATCTATGGCAGGCATATTCAAGGGTTGTGAGGATGCCTGCCATAGATGCAGGCAAAACGTCAGGAGAGAATGGAACATGGTCATACAGCCCGAAAAACTTATAACAACCTAGTGATTCTGTCCATGAAAGCCTTCGACAATACAAATGTGAAACAGTTTTTTAAAACCCACAAAGTCAATGAGCTTTTTAGTGGTCTTCAGGAGTAATGGGAGTAGACGTTGTGAAGGCCACACTTAATCCTCAAAGGAACTGTCTGCAGCCTCACAACTGTAAAGTGAACCACATGAGAGAGAATCATAGAGTTGGAAGAGACCCCGGGGGCCATCCAGTCCAACCCCATTCTGCCAAGAAGCAGGAAAATTGCATTCAAAGCACCCTCAACAGATGGCCATCCAACCTCTGTTTCAAAGTCTCCAAAGAAGGAGCCTCCACCACACTCCAGGGCAGAGAGTTCCACTGCTGAACAACTCTCACAGTCAGGACGTTCTTCCTCATGTTCATATGGAATCTCCTTAATAGTAATAATAATAATAATAATAATAATAATAATAATAATAATAATAACCCTTTATTTGTACCCCGCCACCATCTCCCCAAGGGACTCAGTGCGGCTTACATGAGGCCGAGCCCAAACACAACAATACAAGCAATAATAACAACAATACAAGCAATAAAAAAAACACATAGATAATCATAGAATCATAGAGTTGGAAGAGACCTCATAGGCCATCCAGTCCAACCCCCTGCATTCAAATCACCCCTGACAGATGGCCATCCAGCCTCTGTTTAAAAGCTTCCAAAGAAGGAGCCTCCACCACACTCCGGGGCAGAGAGTTCCACTGCTGAACGGCTCTCACAGTCAGGAAGTTGGGTTCTTGTGGGTTTTTTCGGGCTATATGGCCATGTTCTAGAGGCATTCTCTCCTGACGTTTCGCCTGCATCTATGGCAAGCATCCTCAGAGGTTGTGAGGTCTGTTGGAAGTAGGAAAAATGGGTTTATATATCTGTGGAATGGCTGGGGTGGGGCAAGGAGCTCTTCCCTGCTGCAGTTAGGTGTGAATGTTTAGCTGATCACCTTCATTAGCATTTGAAGGCCTGGCTGAGCCTGGGAAAATCTGTTGCTGGGAGGTGTTAATCTGTGCCTGGTTTTTTCCTCTCTGTTGTTTAGCTGTTATAATTTTAGAGTTTTTTAATACTGGTAGCCAGATTTTGTTCATTTTCATGGTATCTTCCTTTCTGTTGAAATTGTCCACATGCTTGTGGATTTCAATGGCTTCTCTGTGTAGTCTGACATGGTGGTTGTTGGTGTGGTCCAGCATTTCTGTGTTCTCAAATAATATGCTGTGTCCAGGCTGGTTCAACAGGTGCTCTGCTATGGCTGACTTCTCTGGTTGAAGTAGTCTGCAGTGCCTTTCATGTTCCTTGATGCGTGTTTGGGCGCTGCGTTTGGTGGTCCCTATGTAGACTTGTCCACAGCTGCATGGTATACGGTAGACTCCTGCAGAGGTGAGAGGATCCCTCTTGTCCTTTGCTGAACGTAGCATTTGTTGGATTTTCCAGGTGGGTTTGTAGATTGTTTGTATGTTGTGTTTCCTCATCAGCTTCCCTATGCGATCAGTGGTTCCCTTGATGTATGGCAGGAACACTTTTCCTCTGGGTGGATCTTCATCTTTACTCTCGTGGCTTGTTCTTGGTCTTGCAGCTCTTCTGATGTCTGAGGTGGAGTATCCATTGGCCTGTAGAGCCCAGTTGAGGTGGTTCAGTTCATCTTGGAGGAGGTGGGGTTCGCAGATTCTTTTTGCACGGTCTGCCAAGGCTTTAATGGTGCTTCTTTTTTGACTTGGGTGATGGTTGGAGTTTTTATGTAGATATCTATCCGTGTGTGTGGGTTTTCTGTAGACGGTGTGACCAATTGTTGATCTGGTTTGCGGATGACTAGGACATCTAGAAAAGGCAGTCTTCCTTCATTTTCTTTTTCCATGGTGAACTGGATGTTTGGGTGGATGCTGTTAAGATGGTCCAGGAACCTGTTGAGTTCTTCTTCTCCATGGCTCCAAATGGTGAAGGTGTCATCCACATATCTGAACCATATCGTGGGCTTTTTGGTTGCTGTTTCCAGGGCTTGTTCTTCAAAGTGTTCCATGTAGAAGTTAGCTATGACCGGGCTGAGAGGGCTCCCCATAGCTACTCCATCTTTCTGTTCGTAGAATTCATTGTCCCCCTGAAAGTAACTGGTGGTGAGGCAATGGTGAAACGGAGCTGTGATGGCTTCTGGGAACCTCTGGTTGATGAGTGCCATGGTGTCTGCTACCGGGACCATGGTAAATAGAGATACCACATCGAAGCTGATCAGTTTGTCGTTTGTATTTAGCTTGAGATTGCTGATTTTTTCTATGAAGTGGGCTGAGTCCTTGATGTAGTGTGTAGTGAGCCCAATATGGCTTTGTAACTGTGCAGCAAGAAATTTTGCTAGGTTGTATTTGGGGGATCCAATGGCACTCACGATGGGTCTGAGTGGGGTGGAGTCCTTATGGATTTTTGGGAGTCCATAAAGCCTGGGTGGAAGGGCTTCCGATTTACATAGCTGTTGTCGTATGTCAAAGTTTATGGAGGAGTTCTTAATCAGGGTGTTGGTTTTCTTGGTTATTTTGGCAGTTGGGTCTTGCTTGAGTTTTTTGTATATAGTAGGGTCCAGGAGTTTTCTGATCTTCTCCTTGTATTGTTCTGCATGCATGATAACTGTGGCATTCCCCTTGTCTGCTGGCATAACGAGGATATCAGGATCTGAATTCAGTCAGGAAGTTCTTCCTCATGTTCAGATGGAATCTCCTCTCTTGTAGTTTGAAGCCAATAAGATATTTGTAGTTTGAAACCATTGTTGCATTGAAGCCTTGTCTCCAGGGCAGCGGAAAACAAGCTTGCTCCCTTCTCCCTATGACTTCCTCTGCATATTTATACATGGCTATCATGCCTTCTCTTCTGCAGGCTAAACATCCCCAACTCTTTAAGCCACTCCTCATAGGGCTTGTTCACCAGACCCTTGATCATTTTAGTTGCCCTCCTCTGGACACATTCCAGCTTATCAACATCTCCCTTCAGTTGTGTTGCCCAGATCTCTGGCTCCCAAATTTTTTAAGACTCAAAAGTCTTCTCTGACCCTCTGTTTAAATGAAAAGAAATGTAGTTCTTTTAAAAATGAGTCATTCTCTCAGCCATGGCTGAGGCTCCAACACTCACCCCTCCGAAGCATCCACTTTGGGGCTCCCACAATGCGGCTGGGGGCTTGTGTTCTTCTTCCTTCTGACGGTCACACCTGGATGCAAAACCTGAGGAATCACTCCAGACCATCAGATCACAGCAGGAAGGGAAGCAGTCATACAGCTCTTATGCTAGTGGTTCCCAACTTGTGGGTCCCCAGGTGTTTTGGTCTACAACTCCCAGAAATTCCAGCCAGTTTACCAACTGTTAGGATTTCTGGGAGTTGAAGGCCAAAACATCTGGTTGAGAACTACTGAGACTTAAGCAATTAAAAGGAGGACTGTTGTTGTTTAAAACTGCTATATTCCTATATTGCTCTAAACCTCAGAATCCCCTCTGGCCCCTTTAGGAGACAATGCTGGGGTCCCATAAAATGGTGCCAATCTTTTAAACTGCATTAACATCCTGTGTTTGCAGTCACTCACAGCCCAGAAGCCATGAATGGCAAAGCAACTTGATCAACTATATATTTGCATCCAGGAGTTCAAATGATACTGACAATGGATCGTAGTGGTTTTGGTTTTTCTTCTGTGTCAGGGGTGTCTTGAGAAACTGCAAGTCACTTCTGGTGTGAGGGAATTGGCCCAGGGGACGCCCGGATGTCTTACCATCCTGTGGGAGGCTTCTCTCATGTCCCTGCATGGGGAGCTGGAGCTGACAGATGGGAACTCGTCCTGCTCCCCAGATTTGAACTGCCAACCTTTTGGTCAGCAATCCTACCAGCACAAGGGTTTAACTCATTGTGCCACTGGGGGCTCCTGACCTTAGTGGCTGTTACCTCCCTGTAAGCTGCCACTTCCATCTTTTTTCTCCTTCTGGGCCAGAATCTATGCTGGCCAATGTTCGATTTAGAATAGATTTATGCTCTCCCTGCTTGCTTACCTGATAGTTTGGCTCTGCTCCACCTCTGCCCCCAAGCCGTTCAGGTACTTCCAATCCAAAATCGCTCCAGCATGTGGTGTCTTGGCTTCTGCTGTTGTCCTTGCACTCCTTTTCTAGGACTTGGAAAGTAGGAATGACTAGGGGATGGAAGTTGTTTGGATTGCGTAGTGGCGGAGGGATATAGTCCTTTGACGGAGGGCCCACTGCTTTCCACAGGAGAACCCTATCTCCAGAGTAGGGCCCCTTAATATTTCTCAAGGCGGCATTCACTTTCTCAGAGTGGGCCTGGAGAGAAGCAGAGGTACTGTGTGGTTGTTCCTGCAGAGCCCTTGGAAGAGGCTGGCACCACTGTGGGTTGGCTTCCACTTTATCCAAGATGTTTTCCGTGCGGCAGAGAGATTCGGTTGCTTCCCGCAGCTTCGTCTGACAAATGGTTAGAGTTAGGACACACTTTCCAAAATTCTGCTCAAATGAGGACAGACTCATTTTGCCTCTGTTGCTGTCACAACCTGTAGTCTGTCCAGCGGGACTCTGAGAGGACTCCGGGGCATCACTCATCTCCTCTTCCTGACACTCTGCTTCCGTGTCGGAGTTGCTTTCTTCGCTGAAGCTCCTCTGCCAATTCTGGAGTTTGGTGGGTTCTTCGGGTAGTTGGATTTCAGCTCTGTGACTTGGAATAGTCTGCAACTCCCTTTGGGTTTCGGGGCCCTGCTTCCCCACGTCTTCTTCTTCTTCTTCACCCTCCACACTCTCCTCACATAAATCAGAGTAACAGGTATAGATCTCGTTTATCACAAAGCTGCAAAGGCTGTCGTTTGCATCACTGGCATCACCCTGTGTGCTGGCATCCAAGATCGGGCTTGACTGAGCCATGCGAATTGCAGGCTGGGGGTCATGGACGATGCCAGCGCCATCTTCACGGGAAGCGGCACATCTTGACACAGTGAAACTCTTAGCTAAGAGAAAAATTAGACCAAAACTGATCCACCAAGTATTTAAAGACACAGAATATAGTGTACATACATATATACAATGGTTGAATGAAAAGTAATGCCTCCACCTTCGTAACTCCTCAACAGAAGGCAGTACTGGTATGAGGCAGGTACTGGTTTGTTCAGTAGACTCTCCTCTAGAGTTCCATTTTGGCTGGAAGCCTTAGCATTGAACGGTTGTGTTGTTAAAGTGCAAAGTATGGAACCCTGCGCAATGCGACTTAAGCAACATGCAGTCATTGAATTCTTGACAGCAGAAGGTGTCACCCCAAAGGAGATTCATCAGAGAATGCAAGCTGTTTATGGTCATTGCGTTGATGTGAGTAAAGTGCGTCATTGGACGATAAAGTTTAAAGATGTTGAGGCGACACCTGCTGTCAAGAATTTAATGACTGCACATTACTGGTTTTATGGATTGTGATGTATAATGGATTGTTTTAATTGTTTTATAATTGCTGTTGATATATGTTTTTATCTTACTGTTTGTGTTGGCATCGAATTGTGCCTTTTGTAAGCCGCCTTGAGTCCCCCTTGGGGGTTGAGAAGGACGGGGTAGAAATACGCGAAATAAATAATAAATAATAAATAAATTACTTAAGTCGCATTGACCGACTGTCTGCGCAGGGTTCCATACTTTGCACTTTAACAACACAACCATTCAATGCTAAAGCTTCCCGCCGAAATGGAACTGTAGAGGAGAGTCTACTGAACAATCCAGTACCTGCGGCATACCAGTACTGCCATCTGTTGAGGAGTTACGAAGGTGGAGGCATTACTTTTCATTCAACCCTTGTAATATTGATAATATTATATTATAATATAATACAATATAATACTACTACTAATAATATGACATTATACTGTAATATTATTAGTAATATTACATGCAATATAAAATATATAATTATAATATCATATTATTATTAGTAGTAGTATATAATAGTATTAATATAATAGTATATAGTATAATAGTATATAGTACAATAGTATAATAGTATTATTACCATAGCACAATACAAGTATGATATATTACTATATTGTACTATACCATTATACCATTAGTAATATTACATGCAATATAAAATATATAATTATAATGGTATAGTACAATATAGTAATATATCATACTTGTATTGTGCTATGGTAATAATATAATATATTGTATTTACATATTACTTATAAGCTGCTCTCAGTCCCCTTCAGGGTGAGAAGGGCAGCATATAAATGTCATAAGTAAATAAATAATTTATATTTAAAGCATTCTGACATTTTTGCTCAATAAATCTTTACCCTCTGTCATATCCACTCTGGTGACAGTTGGCTACACAAATAGAGAAGAGGTACAAAAAGTTGCTGTGAGTTTTCCAGACTGTATGGTCATGTTCTAGAAGCATTCTCTCTTGGCTCTTTGTCCACATCTATGCCAGGCATCCTAAGAGGTTGTGAGGTATATTGACTGCAATATTCACACTTGCCTCCAACAGACAACAGTTCTTTCTCCCACTCTGGACCTTCCACAAATATATAAATCTACCTTGCCTGGTTTCCAACACTCATAACTTCTGAGGATGCCTGCCATAGATGTGGGTGAAACGTCAGGAGAGAATGCTTCTGGAACATGGCCAGACAGCTCGGAAAACTCACAGCAACCCAGTGATTCTGACCATGAAAGCCTTCGACAACACAAGGTACAGAAAGATCTGCTCTGGGACCAAGCAGCGAGAGAGCTGATGAATAAAGTGTGATTTTGCCCTTCTGATGATGCCTTCTGGTTCCCCACCTCCTTGGGCCAACAAATGAAACCCTCACAACCTTTGAGGATGCTTGCCATAGATGTAGGTGAAACGTCAGGAGAGAATGCTTCTAAAACATGGCCATATAGCCCGAAAAACCTACAACAACCCAAATGAAACCCCCTTGTGTGGATTCCAACTTTCTCAGCCCAAAGAAGAGGACACGTATCACATGCCTCAAGTGTTGCTATGTGTCATTGTATGTTGTGGGTTTTGAAGCCACCACAAAGTGGAGGCAAATAGAGTGTAAGGTAGTTAAATGTTTCCCTCTGATATTAAGTCCAGTCATGTCTGACTCTGGGGAGTTGGTGCTCATCTCCATTTCTAAGTCGAAGAGCCGGCTTTGTCCATAGACACCTCCAAGGTCATGCAGCCGGCATGACTGCATGGAGCATGCATTTCTGCATTTCAGAACCTTGTAGCCAGTTTTAGCCTTAGTTGAGGAAACAAACAGTAAAAAATGGGCCGTGCCTGTCCGGCTGTAAGTGCTCAGTCTTAACATACATGCAGAAAACCGGGACTGTGGCACAGCTGGCTGGGAGTCAGCTGCATTAAGATCACCACTGACCGAAAGGTCATGAGTTTGAAGCCAGCCTGGGTCGGAGTAGCTTGCTGTTGACCTTTGCAGCCCGAAAGACAGTTGCATCTGTCAAGTAGGAAATTTAGGTACCACTTATGCGAGGAGGCTAATTTAACTAATTTACAACACCATAAAAATCTCCAGCAAACAAGCAAAAGAATGAAGAAGTACTCCATCAGTGTCACAAATGGACGGTGAAGCAACAGCTCCCCTGGTGGCCAGAATACCCTCACGAAGCTGGAATGTTAAACAGCCTCTTTGTGTCTGTCTATATATGTTGTGTGTCTATGGCATTGAATGTTTGCCATGTATATGTACATTGTCATCCGCCCAGAGTCGCCTGCAGGGTGAGAAGGGCAGAATATAAATACTGTAAATAAATAAATAAATAAATAAATAAATAAATAAATAAATAAATAAATAAATCTCAGGTTTTTGGACCCTCCCATACAGAGCCAACGACAAAGCAGGGAGTACACACCAATTTGGGCTGACTCTCCTTGAGCTTCTGGTATCTTCAATGAGGCAGCGGAGGCTGATGGCAAGCAGATATTGATGTCAGAAGGGACCTCAGTCTTCGGTGGCCCACAATTCCCACCAAGGCGGTTCCTGTGAGACTGGACCAAATCCTGTAATGAGAAAGTAAGATTTTTAGGATGTAGCCAGAGAATATACAGGTAAGTAGTTGTTCTGTTACGACCTCTTCACACAACAAAATCATGCTTCAGAGTAGTAACTGTGGGGACATGGGTCAAAATCTGGTTTAAGAACTGGAAAAGTTCTGTCAGCATATTTATACTCAGTGTTGCATTTCCTTCTCCAAGACTGCAGCTCCTCTAGAGAATGTTTGGGTGCAAGTAGGGTGCCTAACACATAATCTGGGGACTGTTACATATTAAAAGAAAGCACCATCGGCACTCTCCAGCGCAAGGCTACTCCTTCAGGAGAGGGTGGCCTACAAATAAAGTTTTATTATTATTCCATGGCAAAAAAACAGCACCCAGATGGTGCCCATTGGCAAACTTGAAGGCGGAGGGAGCTACATAAAGCTCACTGGAAATGGAATCTGGGGAGAGGCAGATGAGCTCCCTCTATCAGCTCCAGCTCCTCATGCGGGGACATGAGAGAAGCCTCCCACAAGGATGATAAAACATCAAATCATCCGGGCATCCCCTGGGCAACGTCCTTGCAGACGGCCAATTCTCTCACAACAGAAGCGACTTGAGCTTCTGACACGACAAAAATAAAAAACTGGAAATGGATGCGACTACCACTGAAAATACTAAAAAAAAATTAGTACAGGGGTGAGTATATTGGGGCTTCAGGGGTCAAATGTGACCCTCGAAGAACTGGTTTTGCGGCCGTTAATCTCTCCAGAATCCTCAAGTCACACTTTTCCCAAAAGCCTCTCCTTGAAATATCTGGGAATGGAGATTTGTCGTAATAATAATAATAAGAAGAAGAAGAAGAATAAGAATACTTTGAAAAAGGAGACAAAGGGTCTGATTCTGGCAGCCCATGAATAAGCAATTAGAACAAATGCCATCAAAACCAGAATTGAAAAGTTAACTACAGATCCCATATATAGACTCTGCAAGGAAGCAGGTGAAACAATAGATCATATCCTAAGCTGCTGCAAGAAGATCACGCAGACAGACAGATCAAGCAGAGGCACAACACCGTTGCTCAGATGATTCATTGCAACTTGTGCCACAAATACCATCTGCCTGCGACAAATAACTGGTGGGATCACAAGCTGGAAAAAGTTACAGAGAATGAATACATCAAGCTACTCTGGGATTTCCAAATTCAGACTGACAGAGTTTTGGAGCACAAGACTCCTGACCTCACAATCGTGTTAAAAAACGAAGTATGGCTTGTCTATGTTGCAATCCCAGGCAACAGCAGGATTGAAGAGAAACAACTGGAAAAGCTGACACGATATGAGGATTTAAAGATCGAACTTCAAAGACTCTGGTACGAGCCAGTCATGGTGGTCCCAGTGGTGGGTGCAGTGCCTAAAGACCTTGGCCTGCACTTAAACGCAATCGGCGCTGACAAAGTTACCATCTGCCAGCTGCAGAAGGCCACCTTATTGGGATCTGCACACATTATTCACCAATACATCACACAGTCCTAGACACTTCGAAGGGTCTGACGTGTGTTCCAATACAACAGCCAGCAGAGTGTCTGCTGTGGACTCAACTTGTGGTGTTTCTAATAATAATAATAATAATAATAATAATAATAATAATAATAATAATAATAATGGTTGCCAGGACACCCCCCCCCCCCAAAAAAAAGAAGTTGGCATTGAAAATGTTACTTCTTCAAAATCAGAAATGGACTTCTGGCCGTCTGAGTTTGTTTGCAGTTAAGAATTGTTCTCTGGCCTTGCCAAAGTTGTGCATTTCTTTTTTTTAAATAGATTTTATTTTCATAGAATAACAACTTACAGTGTAAACAAAACACAAAACAGTGAACATTTTACAAACACATAACCCCACTACCAAGGCCTGAACAAGTATCCTTTCCTTCACCCTGTATTTATAAATCAACCATTAATCAAATGTCATATCCAAAATTCCTGACCAACAAAGTTCTGTTGTTTTCCATTTTCGCTCTCTAAAGCATATTTAATGAAGTCCGACCAGTATTCCCGTACTTTTTCTAACAGCTTCAGCCCTATTTCTTCGCCAATTAATCCATTATATATTTTCCCAATTAATCCTTTTCCCATTCTTTTTTGGTTATTAAGCTTACTTAGCCATTCCTCATATTTATTCAGTGCTCTACATCTGGGATTTTTACTTAACCAGTCCTTTTTCCAATTATACAGCTGTTGTCTCTCAAACCAATTCAGGGCACCTTGTGCATTTCTACTTCACGTGTCAAGTCAGAGAAAAAGGGGAGAGCAAAGGAAAAGGAGAACTCCATCCGACTCACCTTTAAGTCGTTCTTCAGAATGTAGCGGATGTCTTGCAGGCTGATGGTGCGTGGCTTAGGCCTGGGCTCCAGGCCAATCTTCACAATGTCGTAGTAGGGTTTGTGGAGCCTGGCATCAGCTTCTAACCATTGCCCAGAAGTAAGGAGATTCCTAACATCTGACCCTTCAAATCCATCCCAGGGAATGGTTTCTGGAAAACATACATCATGAGTGTTGCACTCTGAGGCCGTGGTTAAGGCCCTGAATACAGGGCGGGGGCTTGCTGCCAGGGACCCTTGGGCAAGGGAGACTTGTCCTTGTTGCAGGAGAGGAACCAATGTGGTGCTGGGTATTCTCTCCACTTCCTGAATGCTCAGGGCCTTCCTGAGCAATGATACAATGTTTAGTTGTGTGCTTGTATGAGAAAATAAACTAGACAGTTCTGGGGAGGAAACTGGGCAAAGATCGTTTATATGCGCAAAAGGAGAAGCAAAATAATGGACTTGGGTGTTGTTTGCCAATGGCTACGCAATCCAAAGCATGATTAACGTGGTCTGGTGAGGGTCAGAGAAACAGAGAGAAGAATGGGGAGAGAGGCAATGAGAACACCTATCCTGGAGAAAGCATGGCTGCCTTCCACACTGCAACGTCGATTGTAGCTCACAGTTAGACACCCCTCCGTCAGATCATAAAAAAACAGCTGTAGGCTGACATCTATCTATATCTATATATGTATCAATATAATAAAAGTGAATGTTTGTATGTATGTGTGTATGTGGCAGCTTTCTGATTGGTTGCCACTTTCACAGGCCACTGTGATCTACACGAGCGATGGACCTGGACCAAACTTGGCACACATAACCCCCATAACCCACTTTACGTCCTGGTGTGGTTTGGGGGAGGTGTACCATGGATTATGAGATTTGTAGTACTATAAAATGCTTGGGCAACCACAGACCACTGTGCCCCCCCCCCTCCACCAATGACAGATCGAGATCAAACTTGGCACACAGAGCCATCATGACCCACTCTATATCCTGGTGAAGTTTGGGGGAAGACGGACCACAGATGATGGGACTTGAAGTACCTTCACTCACTTCCTGAGATCGCTGCAACCCCCATCCAATGACTGATCAAGACCAAACTTGGAACACAGAGCCCCCAAGACTCACTCTTTATCCTGGTGCAGTTTGTAGGAGGATGGGCCATGGATGATGGGACTTGAAGTACCTTCATTCACTTTCCGAGACTACTGCGACTCTCATCCAATGACTGATCAAGACTAAACTTGGCACACAGAGCCCCCATGATCCACTCTATATCCTGGTATAGTTTGGAGGAGGAGGATGGGACTTGCAGTGCCTTCACTCATTTCCTGAGACCAATGCAACCCAAACAAATGACTGATCAAGAGCAAACTTGGCACACAGAGCTATCGTGACCCACTGTACATCCAGGTGCAGTTCCGAGGAGGGCGGACCACGGACGATGGAACTCACAGTACCTTCACTAACTTCCTGAGACCACTGAGAGCCACATAAATAACTGATAAAGACCAACCTTGGCACACAATGCCTTTCTCAAATAACTTGGGCACCGCCGGGTCCCCAAGCTAGTACACATAATAAAAATCAAAATATGTATGTGTGTGTGTGGCTGAGGTGTCCACTTACACAGACAAGCTCCTGCTTCCACAAACAGCTATAGCTTCCACTACTCGGGAGACACCAATGGCCCTCCCCCCAATGACATTGCAGGTTATAGTGAGCATGTCCCAGAGCCCCTGCCAATGACTTTCACCAACACCATCCGGCCCACCACCCAAGGGAAGGCTTTCATACAGGGACAATTTCATTCTAGATTTTCAGTGTGTCCTCCACCACAGACATCCCAGTGTTTCTTACAATCTCCATTGCTGTGGAATTTGCTTGATCCCGGTCACTGCCTCTCCCTTAACCCTTTCCTATTCTTTTCTATGGTACACAGCAAACAAAGGAAATGATCAGCGACTGACCATACTAGAGAGGTTTGGGGAGAACTTGCCATGATTTATAGGAGTTGTAGCCACTAGAATGTATAGTTCACCTGCAATCTGAACCCCACTAATGATAGACCTGGAACTAACTTGGCACACAGAACCCTCATGACTAAGAAGAAATACTGAAGGTCTTTGAAAAGATTTGTGGGAGTTGTAGTTCATCTACATCCGGAGCACACTGTGAGCCCAAACACTGATGGATCTGGACCAAATTTAGCAAACATACCTGATCTGCCGAAATTAGATTATGGGAGGGGTTTGGGGGGAACTGACCTTCCTTTCTGGGAGTTGTAGTTCAACTACAACCAGGGAAACTGTGACCTCCACTGATGATGGACCTGGACCAAACTTGGCATGCAGAATCCTCATGTCTATCTGAACCTACTGGAGGTGTTTGAGGGGACTGACCCACCATAGTGGGAGTTCTAGTTTAACCTACAGCCAGAGAGCACACTGAAAATGTATCTAGAACAAACTTGCCCAGTGCAAGAAACTTTAAGTACTGATAGAGTTTTTCAGGGTTCATCAATTTACCTTCTCACCTGGGTAATAAGCATACCTGTGAGTGCCTCCTGCATCACCACACAGAAGCTGTAAATGTCAGATTTGGTGGTGGCAGGCCTCTCGAGAATCACTTCTGGAGCACACCACTTATAGAGCTGGGAAGGGATGGGAACCCGTGTCAGGTCACTGTGCTCTCCTCCATCCTTGCTGCAAAGAAGGGAAGACAAATATTATCAGAGACATGTTATGGAGAAGAGAATGTAACAACAACAACAACAACAACAACAACAACACCACTCTGGCCCAGTCAGCTGATAGAATTAGTCCAGTCTCTGCCTGATTTTGATGGGGAAGTTCTGGTTCCATCTGCCACTGTTAAAAGCCTTGGGGTTGGGTTGGACTCATCGCTGACGATGGAGGCCCAGATCACTGCCATAAGTAAGCAGGCCTCTTTTCATCTTCGCCAGGCAAGGAAATTGGCATCCTTCCTTTCGGTAGAAGCATTGGCAATGGTAATCCATGCAACAGTCACCACTAGGCTGGACTATTGATTCGTGTTTAGGCGCTGCTCATATAGCGTATTATTTGAGAACACAGAAATGCTAGACCACTCTAACTACCATGTCAGGCTACACAGAGAAGCCATTAAAATCCACAACCATGTGGACAATGCCAACAGAAAGGAAGAAATCATGAAAATGAACAAAATCTGGCTAGCAGTACTAAAAAACTCTAAAATTATAACAGTAAATAAAAAACAAAACTCAAACACAGGGGAACTCCAGACAGAAACAATCACGAACAGCTAATCACCTCTCAACATGGAATTCCCCCAGGCAGTAACAGGGCACACCTAAAAACTGTCAGGTCATCAAATGCTAATCAAGGTGGCCAATTGAAACATTCACACCTAGCTCCAACAGACAAGCCCAAAAAACCTACAACAACCCAGTGATTCCAGCCATGAAAGCCTTCAACAATACAACTTTATTTCTAGACTGTCGTCTCTCCTCAGAAGAACTCGGGACGCTTTACACATAAAAAGGCAAGCAGTCAATGCCTCAAAATAGGTGCAAACATATCAAATATGCAGAATAATGAAGATTAACAATAGAAAACTTACAAACAAGGAATTAAGCATCAAAATAAAATAAAAGCAATAGCAATCAATTAAGACATAAAAAAAACTAAAACATAAATAAACATTACAATGTATGCCTCATATTCATCATGTCCCATAGAGCCCCTGGTGGCGCAGTGGGTTAAACCCTGTGCCGGCAGGACTGAAGACCAACAGGTTGCAGGTTCGAATCTGGGGAGAGGCGGATGAGCTCCCCCTATCAGCTTCAGCTCCTCATGTGAGGACATGAGAGAAGCCTCCCACAAGGATGATAAAAACATCAACTCATCCAGGCGTCCCCTGGGCAACGTCCTTGCAGACAGCCAATTCTCTCACACCAGAAGCGACTTGCAGTTTCTCAAGTTGCTCCTGACACGACAAAAAAAAATCATGTCCCATAAATAAAACCTGCTATGGATTCTAAAGACAGGCAGCATCCAGTTGGAAACAAAGACTTCTGGAAATATTAATGATACAAACCAATTATAATTTTATAATATTATATTAAATTTTATAATATTAAATTTATAATATTATAATGTAATGCAATATAAAACTAATAATAATTTGATATTATAATTATATATTTTATATTACATGTAGTATTACTAATAGTATTACAATATAACGGTATAGTACAATATAGTAATATTTAATACGGATATTGTACTATGCTAATAACTTAATATATTGTATGTATATATATCTTGTAAGCTGCTCTGAGTCCCCTTCAGGGTGAGAAGGGTGGCATATAA